AAACATTCTTACATATTTCAGGCCTTCATGAAATTGCCAGTATATAGCATTCAGCAAATGCAGTAATTTTCTTTGTATCCCATTGCACATCCCACACAGTAGAAACAACTTAATCACTTGAAAGAATTTAAGGAAGTCTGTAGTTTTTACCATTTCATAATTATTTACTTTTTAATTTTAAATTTTTTGGTACTGAAGATCAAACCCAGGACATTTATACTGAGCTACATCCCCAGTCCTATTTTATTTTATTATTATTTTTTAAATTTTGGGTCAGAGTCTTCCCATTCTCTACATTGCACAGGCTGTGCTCAAACTTCTGTTCTCCCGCCTTAGATTCCTAGAGTGCTGGGATTACACACACGCACCACCACGCCTGGTTTCCATCATGTTTTAAATCATATTCTCTCATGACAATACATTATGAAAGGTCTACATGTTATACATCCTAGTGTTCAACAACTGGATTCTATATTTTGCATTATTTCCATCAATTCATCTTGAGTTTTAGTAGAGCTGGCAACACATGCATGGTTGAGAACAATATGATGGACAGCAAATTAGTAATTTAAATCTCCTCTATTGAAAACAAGGCTGTATTTCTAAGCTAAACCAATGAAGAAAGACAAAATCCATTTCCTACTTTTGGTAGTCATTGCAGTTTTATATCTGAGTTAATTACAATTCTGTTGTTATGTATATTTTAACCTTTGTTCTTTTAATAGATAAAATTAAAGTAATCCTTAAATTTGACAGAAAATTTTGTATTTTGCCTTATTAATATCTCCAGATATATTTATGTGATAGTAGAAAATAGAAATTAGTGACTTTCAGTATGATGTGGTTTAAAAGTTTGATTTCAGAAATTTTGTCTTTTGAACAAAATATAATTTCTCAGCCATGAAGAGACAGTAAAAAGTACCATACGGCTTGTACTAACTTATCCTATAACCAATGAAGAATGCTGACATTACTTACATTGAGTAATTTTGTTATCCACATTCTCAAGTGATTCTGTACTATATTCAAGTCCTGTATATTGGCCTTAATGTCTTTATTTTCATACTTTTTGTTATGCTTTCCTATTTTCATTTAGTCCCATTTTTGAAACTATATTTAAGGTTTTGTATTTACCTGTAAACATTCCAAATTTTAAGATTACTGTCACACTACAGCAACTTAAATTCTTCTTGGATCCATATAGCAGTTTCTTGTTTTCTACAATCCAGAGAGTATCTAGTTGATAAAAATAATAGGATATTGTATAAAAACAAAAATCAAATCTTCTGATAACCTTAATTAGATACCACTGTCATTTTGTTACAATTTACCTACCTACAATATTATTTATCTATGAGACTATTATTTTCAAATGAATAATATAAGATTTTATTATTTTTTTCTAAGGCTGATGTATATTAAATATCCACATTACTTTATGTTGAATTTTAAAACTTGGCTGTAAAATACCTAAATGTTATAGCTACCTCATTATTCTTAATTCACCCGAACCACATTTCAAATAGCAAAGTGCACGGCACATAATGAAAATTCTTTTGTTACTGTTTGTTTTGTTGCATTTCTTTTTATCCAGAATAACTTTTAAAGTATGTCATTCATTGTATGAAAACGTACACATTTGCTTCATTCTTCTAGGAAACATTCATGTACCCTATAATTTCTTAATCTAATTTAAACATTCACCTTTACATTTGAGGTATATTTGAGTGACTCAGAAGAAACATACTGTAGAATTAAGTAATAATAATATTTTAAAATCATAAATTTTTCAATGTAAGAGACTTTCATATTCTTGGTCTATCTCTTCTCTGTAAATAATCACTTTTTTCATCAAATGAGTCAGAAAGAAGCATAAAATGAATATGGCTATTTCATTTATCTTGCAATTGATCATACATTCATTGTCATCAAGTTATGAATAATTTTAATCATTTTATTCTGAACATAATTCTGAAGATGATTTATTATTCTTTGTTGAATTTGTATGAGGTTTTGTTTGGAGAAGAGAAAGTTATGTATCTTCACTCTAATACATTTCCCTCCCATTTATAAGAGAATAATCTCATGAAAAAGAAAGAAAGAAAGAAGGAAAGAAAGAAAGAAAGAAAAGAAAGAAAGAAGCAGGCAAGAGACCTAAACCAATTTTCTTCTAGGTATATAATTAATTGACCTATAAATTAATATTGATGTTGGCTAAGAAAAGAGTAGTTATTTTCGGAGCATTTTTAAATACTTTTCCTTGTTTCAGCATGCTTTTGTACAAGAAATTATCCAGTTATGATATATTGAAAAATTAAGTATAAGTGATATTTTTGACGTGTCATACATGCATAATTCCTACTGTATGGGGAGTCCAGTAATCTAGTTAATGAACTCATCTATTACCCTCCCCAAGAAGATTTATTCAGTATGAGGAACAATAAAACCATGTTTGTCATTAAACTCCTCTTATTTTGTCTTTGACTCTTTAATGTTTATATTCTTGAATTCATTTAGAAAAGCTCAATATTAGATAAGATCTAATTAATGTACATCTGATATGTTGGATCCTTTGTGTTAGATCTGTTATTTGTCTTTGTTATATTCAGCTATTTTGAGCATGGCAATCTTTATTACTCTCCTTGAAGATATTGTGGTGGTTAGCTTAAGAGTGTCAACTTCACTGGGAATTAAGAAAGCACACTTCTGGGTATGTCTAAATGGATTACAGAAGCATAAACTTGGGTACTATATAGACTCTGGTCCCTATTTCTCTACCACTGTTTCCCTGCTCTACTTCCCTGTCTTCATAAGCTAAGTATCTTTGTGCCACCATGCCTTTCTACCATGGTATTTTTGCCTTAAATTCAGCAGACTATGAGGAGAATCACCTGAACCATGAGCCAAATTAAACTGCTTATCCTATAACTTGTGAAGGTTCAGCATTATGTTTCAATGATGGTAAATGTAATATAGAAAACTACTACCAGAAAAGTGAGGTTGCTGGAGTAACTCTACCGACCATGTGATTCCGAAACATTTGGTACTGGTTTGCAAGAAGAGTTTAGAAATGTTTGGAGATGTGGGCAAGAGAAGCCTTAGCATGTTGTCAGTAGAACCTGATGGGATGTTTTGGTCAGAGATCAGAAGCCCAGGAAACTGATAGAAACATGGACAATAAAATCCAGGCTTAGAAGATTTCAGTTGGGAGCCAGTACTTCATTATCAATTGGATTACAGGCCATGTGTATTACACTGTTGGAAAAAATATATCTACATTTTGCCCCTGTCCAAAAACTTTAGGAGAGACCAAGACATAGGTGGATTAATTGATTAGGCAGAGGAAATGTTAAGGCAACAGAATGTTCAGGCAGAGGCGTGGGTACTGTTAGCTTCTTTTTAAAAGATTTATAGTGAAAATCTGGAACAAAAAGTATGAAGAGTATAGTGAATTACAAATTTATAGTCCTATATGATACTTCTTTAGAAAAAATGATTGATAGAAGAAGCAATTTGTTAGTCAATTATCAAGTATCAAAAGATAGCTACTTGGAAAGAGCAGTTTAATGATGAAAGTTCAGTTTGCTAATTCCCAGAAGAATGATTTATATATACAACTGATCTCAAAGTAAAGTCACTTGGGGAAAAGTGTTGAAAATTTCATAATTTATATCTATAAAAAGAACATAGCCCTTGTTCCTGGGTATGAAGATCCAATATAGTAAAAATGGCCATATTTCCAAAACTGTTTCTTCAGGTTCAATGCAATTCTGATTGAAATCCCAACAGTATATTTCACAGAACTAGAGAAAACAATCCAAAAATTCATTTGGAATCAGAAGAGACCTAGAGTAGCAAAAGCAATTCTAGGCAACAGAGACATGGCAGTGGGTATCACAAACCCCAACTTGAAACTATACTGCAAAGCCACTATGATAAAAACAGCATGGTACTGACAAAGAAACTGACCCAAGGACCAGTGGAATAGATTAGAAGATGAAGAAACAACTCCAGACATACTCGACCACCTCATCTGTGACAAAGGAGCCAACTATCCTCACTGGAGGAAAGATAACCTCTTTCATAAATGGTGTTGAAAAAACTGGATTTCAACTTTCCATAGATTAAAACTAGACCCCTATCTTTCACCATGCATTAAACTAAAATTGAAGTGGATTAAATATCTAAATATTAAAACAGAAACACTAAATTCACTGGAAGATAAGTTAAGAAAAACTTTTGAAGACATTGGCATAGGAAAAGACTTTAGGAACAAAACCTCAGTAGCACAGGAACTAGGACAAAGAAACAACAACTGGGATTTCATCTTATTAAAAAGCTTCTGCACTGCAAGAGAAACCACCAACAGAGCTAAGAGACAACGTACAATGTGGGAAAAAAAAATTTAACAGCTGTTACTCTGACAAAGGCCTATTATCTAGAATATGTAAAGAACTGAAAAAAAAAAGACCCCCCCCAAATTTAAAGATCCAATTAAAAAATGGGCATCTGTAATGAACGGACATTTCTCAGACAAAGAAGTAAAAGCAGCAAATAAACGTGAAAAAATGTTCAACATCACTGGTCATTCGAGAGATGCAGATGAAAACAATGCTGAGGCCAGGATTTAGCTCATTGTTTCTGCTGCCTGTCTTGCAAGTGCAAGGACCTGAGTTCAATCCCCAGTACCAAAATAAATAAATAAATAAATAAATAAAACAAAATAAAATAAAGAAAAAGAAAACAACGCTGAGGTTCCACCTCACCCCAGAAAGAATGGGTGCCAACAAGAAATCAACCAATAATAAATGCTGACAGGGTTGTGGGGAGAAAGGAACCCTTCTTCATTGTTGGTGGGAGTGCAGACTGGTGCAACCACTGTGGAAATCAATATGGAGATACCTCAAACAACTAGGATTAGAAGTCCCATTTGACCCACTTATTCCTCTGCTGGCTATCTTCCCAAAAGAATTGTACTGAGTCACTGTGCTTACATCATGCAGCAGACAGCTTGCAGGGTTATTTATCATGCTATTTGCATTTTATTTTGCTGATTGTGTTACAGTAGATCCTGTTCCTTGTCTCCTTTAGGGTTTTTTCATTACTTGAATGGCAGATTCCAGTTTTTCAGAGTATTTGTTTCATCTGTTGGCTTTCTGTTCTCCTTCATAGCTTTCCTTTTCTTTAACTTGCTCCATCTGAGTTGCTTTAAGAAGTTTTTCTCATGCCTAAATTCAAGACAAGTACAACAGAAATTATAAATTCAAGACAAATACAACAGAAATTATGTAGCTCTTTATATTGATGAAGGAGGTTGATATGGTTTAACCTTTTTTAGAAGTTAGGACCAGCTATTGTTACATGTAATATTTCACCTCAGAAATTGAAATGAAAGAAGGGGTAAAAAGTACATGATTTTTTTTTTTTTTAAATGTGAAAGAGTCCTTTTCAGAAATTTCATGGTAGTGAGTTTGGCATTTGTTACATGTATAAAAAGACTAATAATCTACATTTTTAACTTAATCATTGAATCAGAAAAAGAATACCATGGACTGTACACCTTTACCATTTTGTCTACTTTTTCGACCTGTTCCCTCTTCGGATTTGGCTTCTGGAACCAAAATTATTTCATCTTGCTCCAACTTGGTTCTTATGACTTTATTTGGTGCTGCTAACTGCCCTTTCCCCTTCATGTTGTAAATATGTTTCTGTATATGTTGCAACTTTAGATGTTTTTGTTTTTGTTTTGATTAACCCTCTCTCACTTCACACAAACTCCCCTGAGTTACTCCCTGTGGAAATAGTAACTGTTGAATTTTCAGAACTTGAAAGTTAACTTTTCTTTCTCCTTTTAGAAGGAAAAATAGGGGGCCAGGGATTTACCTCAGTGGCACAGTGCCTGCCTCTCAAGCTCAAGGTCCTGAGTTTGATCCCTGGTACAAAAAACAAACAAACAAGCAAAAACAAATAAAAGGAAAAATATTTGGGGCTAGCAAAATCAAAACAAGAGACTCAAATTCTGGTGACTTCTAAAAATAGAATCATGAGAGATATGTCAGTATTACAGACATGCAGTTTATGACCAGCAGACTGTAAGAATTTGTCATAAGTTCCAATGTTACTAGCCCATTACCAGTGTTTTACTATTAGGACTTAACATTGAAGGATTCATAGAGATATTGAATTCTTTTTGAGTTTTGATTATGTTTTTTCAAATAAGTGGACAGTACTCATGTAAAAAGAACTGGAAAAGGAAAATGACATGTTTTTATTGGTAGTAAAACTTTTTTATTACAAAGATTTAATAAAAGTTCTGTGACCTGTAGCATTACTTATTAGACTGCCCGCTCTTCTCTCCTTCCCTCTCCTCCCCTTTTATCTTTTTTCCCTCCTCTTTTTTTTTTTTTGGTACTGGGGATCGAACTTGGGACCTTGTGCTTTCAAGGCAGGCAGCGGAACCACTGAGCTAAATCCCCAGCTCTCCCTCCTCTTGTCTCCTTGTTGTTGTTGTTGTCATCATTGTGGTACTTTCGGAGAAAGTATTGTCTCTTCTGACATGTCATCTGTGGTTGGTTCTGGCATTTTATTCCCAGTGTCCTCTCACAATGAACTTCACACCTGCTGGCCAGGTGCAAATAGTACAAACTGTGAATTAAAATAATTTTGCTCTGTTGACATATATGGAGAAAACTAGCAGGAGTTTATTTTCTGTTATTGCCACCATATTTGTGTTAAGATACCAGTATGAGGAGAAATGGCTGGTTTTTATTGATAATGCAGGGAGGTTTTCAGAAAAGTTAGTACAGTAACTAGTGAAACTTGTTATCTGGAGCACTTAATGGCATCTGTTTTCAGTCTTGGCTCTCAATTTGATTTTTCTCTGGACCATATTTGGCCTCCTACAGCCATTCCTAAATTACAGAAACAAGCTGTGTAGTTTCTGGTGGAAAGCTACGGTGCCTCCTGAGTTCTGGACTGACACACCCTTTGTCAGCTGTTGTCTGGCTGGATGATGCTGAAAACGCTGCCTTGAAATAGCAACCAGCCAGACAAGGAGTCTGAGGCTCCTGACTGCCCAAGAAGGCACATCCATCCCAATCATAGAGACCATGTCCAGGGAACACGTGCTGATGCCCCACCTTCCACTGTGACTCCACAAAGGAGTCACAAAGGGCTTTTCTGCAGATAGAAGCAATTGGGGTTTGTATTTGCCACTTCTTTTATGGTTACCTACATGTCCATTGCTGGCAAGGGACTTTGTCATTGAAAGCTGACTCCTACATTAAGGGAGCTGCAGTGAGGTTTATTCTTTACTTACCTGGATAAACTAACCTGGCATAGAAATATACTTTGGTTAATTCTAAACTGTGTCATTTTTAAATAAAATAATCTTAAAACCAATACAAAATTGTGATTTATTAGTTTTAAATTAAAATGTTCAGATCTTGTTGAAAGAACAATTATATCTGAATCAAGACTAATGGTTCTTTTTAATGATTGCCTTTTGTATTCACTTTGTCATCACTTTAGAATAAGAATTGCTATTTAAATCTGAAAGTTTTCTAGTTTTCCTCTTGTATTATTAAGACAATATTAGTACAGGACTTATTTATTATTTTTGTAGACTTTCTGGTGGTCTTTAAATTATCTTTTCCTCTTGTTACTTTTGCTGCTATTAGGGAACAGTTAAAAGTGGGAAACCATGCAAATACTGAACATTTTACCCCACTTAAAATAGTAAACAAGTAGAGTGATTGGGTGGCCTAAGACACATGGCTTTTAAGCTCTGACTTCCTGGGTTGAGTGCCTGGCATGAAGCATAAATTCTCTTCCTTTCATCATAAACAGTAAGCTGCTTAAAACTTACCTAGTAACTGCCAGTCTTAAACCTGTCCCTTTAATAAGCAGTTGTAAACTACCTATGCGTATTTCTCCTTAGGGCTCACTTAAATACACATTTGTTCATATATTCTATATTCTAGCCAGAATAATTTTAGATCTGATCAGGTAGCAGCTATAGTTAGAAAAAAATAAAGAATTTGCATCAATTATTGAATCCAACATTTTTGAAATATATTGAGATCTATGTCCAGTGAAATGTCCATGTATTGCAGATTACAGCTAAAATACAGCTGAATAATGATCTTTGGTTTTTATAGTGGAATTTTATAGTAATGTAAAAAGTAGTTTTAATCGGCAATACCCTGGTAGTTAAAAATATTTAACAACTTCTCATGTGTTTCTTTTCATTTATGTCTTTTTTCAAGGAAAAATATGTCTATATAAATACTTTGTGTTTAATTGTATATTTATTGTTTTATTTGAGTTATAATACTTGTGTATTCTTGATAAAAATCATTATTAAAATATATGATTTGTAAATATATTCTCTTCTGTTTTGTGTCATAAAAGTTTCTATGATTTGATATTTTTCTAAAGATTCATGAGGATATAATTGAGATAAAACAAATATTTTTATCTGTCTCTGTCTTCTAATAATTTCATTCAAATTTTGAAATATTTTTGAAGAATTACCTCTTTCATTTTTCAAAAAACATTTTTGGTAATTATCAGTTTTTGTTTCAATGAAAGCATTTTCATTTTTCTTCTCATAATCTATTAAATATAGATAAATATTACTATGCAGAAATTACTAATATCAATTTAATAGTGTTATATTCATATTCCAGCTGTTCAAAAAGCCTTTGCACTAGATGAAGAATTCTTGAAGTAAACCTTAGAATTCTTTACTGTTCTTTTCTTCTTCAGAGAATTTTAAAGCTATAGAAAAGCATTTTCAAATAAATATGTATCACTTTAACACACACACAAATACATATACATAAAATCAGATGTAATGTAAGGCTTTCTGGGAGAGGAAAACTCGCTTTGTTAGGGAAACATGCCCCCTTGGGAACATTCAAATCCCATCATTCATTGACTATTCCTCTTCAGCTAACCAGTACCTTAAAAATTGTTAAATAATAAATATATTATTATTAAGATGGGTGGTGATTAATGAGAAAGATGAGGAAATGGGACATAGTGAGGAATTCTTGGTATGCTCTGAGTGAACTTCAGGGAATAGGTTAGAGAAAAGGAAATCGAGAAAAGATATGTGATTAGTACAAGACCATGACCATAGGCTAAAAATTGATATTTACTTTAGTGCTAACTAATAATAAAGAGGATAGGACAGCAAACTAATGAAAATGGTACAATAGTTACTAAATGTAATATATTTTTAATAGGATAAGGTGAGAATTAATTCTTACAATATTGCTAGTCCAACAAAACATTAACTGTGTATCTAAAGTCATGGAAACAGGTTTAACTTGTGATACTCTATGCTATTCTTATTAAGAATCGTGAAACTTTGTATTATCTCCTTGAAATTCCCAGAGTTTGGTGTGTCTATTGGCTTTCTAACTTAAATTACAAGTAGTTAGGTTTAGGACAGAATTCAAGCAGGCATGCCACAAGTTGCTGTAGAAATTTATGTAACTAGTTTTCTAGTAAAACAAAATAAATTTGCATTTCTATGCATATTGTTCTGAAGCATTGTAGTTTAACAATTTCTGGGTAAGACATTATTGGGGATACATAAATCACATAGATGACATTATGATGAAGCAAAAATTATTCCCCATATAAGAAAATATTTCATATTAAACTTGTCAAGAAAATTTCTCTCAAAGTGTAGTTAAACCATAAAAGAACATAGTATTCGCACCCATTTATATCACCACACTCATACATGAAATGAAGCTACATAAAAGAACTTGTGTTTCACAGGTTTCACTTAATAAGAAAATTCACAACCCCCCTTTAAGTACAAATTGATTTTATTTCACACAGGAAGTTCTCCTTCAATGTTATATATTAATCTTCGTTCATGTTTCCAGGTGACCTGAGTTATGAGCAATTTAACAATTTTGATTCAAATATGTTAGACAATTAGAGAAGATACAGCCTTCAGGTATATATATACATATATATATATATATGTGTGTGTGTGTGTGTGTATGTGTGTGTGTGTATATGTGTGTATATATATATGTGTGTGTATATATATGTGTGTATATATATATGATTTTTTTAAATGCTGTTTATTTTCTCTGCTCTTAATAGTATATGATGCTATTAATAATTTAGTAAGTAAACCACTATTGTTACCTCCACTTTATATTTATTCACATTCAACAGAGCCTAAAATACATGAGACAGA